GAGAGAGAGAGAGAGAGAGAGAGAGAGAGAGAGAGAGAGAGAGAGAGAGAGAGAGACAGACCACCAGATCAATTCACAGACAATACAAGAGGACACAGACAGACAGACAGACAGACAGACAGACGAGATATGCTAGATAACAAAGGTACGTTGTGTTTCTGTACATCTCTCTGCATCTCATTTACAACGTGTGGCTACCCTTCGTGCAGAAGCTTGTGCTAAGTAGGGGAGGTAAGGAGAGAGTGCAGAAAAGAGGTAGGGAGAGAGGCTTCAAGAAAAGATGGAGGAGGAGGAAGATTGGGATAGGGGAGGCAAAAAAGAGGGAGGGAAAGAGGTGAGGAGAGAGAGGAGGGAGGGGAGGCAAAAGAGAGTGAAGGAAAGAGGTAAGGAGAGAGAGGAGGGAGGGAGGGAGGGAAGGGGAGAGGATATAGAAAAGAAAGGAGAATCGGAAAGAGAGGAGGGAGGGGATGGCAAGGAGAAAGGTGAGGAGAGAGAGAGGGAGAGAAAGGGTGCAGAAAAAGAGAGTTAAGAAGCGAGGAGAAAAGAGACAAGGAGAGAGGGAAGGAGAGAGGCGTTGGAAAGCAAGGAGAGAGGGAAAGAGAGAGGGATGGAGGAGGCCAAGGAGAAAGGCGAGGAGAGAGAAAGGAGAGAAGGGGGGGAGAAGAGAGGACGAAAGCGACGAGGAGAGTGCGAGGGAGAAAGGCAAGGCGAGAGAGATGAAGGGACCAACGCACAGCCATGAAGCCGAGGAGAGAGAGAGCGATGAAGAGAGCGAGGAGGGAACATAGGGTGCGAGAGCAAGAGAGGTCACTTACGTTGTCTTCCCATATGCTTTTCCGATCTCACTGGAAACGGTATCACTGAGCTTGGTGCAGAAGCTTGCAACGAAAGCCAGTTTCCATAAATACTCAGCGGCTCCACCACCCAGCTGGAAGATAGACGCCAGGCCACAAGCAAACCCAGCCACTCCTGACCCAACAACGCTCTTAGCACCCCTCCTACCTTTCTTCTGCTCTGCAATCCCCTCGTTTTCCTTCTGCTTCATTCGGATTTTCGTCACACTCGTTCCCTGCGCAGATCACCACCCATCACTACACAAGGTTACCATCAAGTGTAGCCTGCACAAAACGCTGAACAGTTACTCTTAACAATCCGTCCCTCCTCCCCCGCTCCCCCCCCCCCCCACACACACACACAAGATGCTGAAGAGTTAAGCCCCT